AACGATTGTAGGGTTACAAGACAATAATGATCAATTAGCTTGTGCCTTAACATCCATAACACTCTGAAAGTTTTACTGTAATGTAAAATCCTATTTCAACCATTATTTAGTGATCAAAAATGTCCATTTAGTCTCCAGAACAAATTCACCAAATCAAACTAACAATACAAAAATTGCATTGGTTAATGTAAAGAGAATGTGAAAACAGAACACACTGTGACCATTCACATTCTAGATAGAACTGTCACATCTTCAATTAGAAATCAAATAAGATTTTAACAAGATTTTTATAATAATAATTTCATCAATGGAAAACACAACTCTCTGGAAGCAAAGCTTGAAATAAAACTACTTTTATAATTCATCAAAATATTTTCCAAACATATAACAGAACCAGATGGAAGTTATTGCACTGTTTGGCATTTTTTTTCTTTTTAAACAGGTGCTTTAAAATAATTTCCACTCAAACATAACAGGGTAGATTCTACCACTTTCCAAATACAGATGTCTTATGATGTAAATATTCTAAAAACAATATCATCAAAAACGGTTCTCTGTGATAAATACTATACTGAGTTAAGCGTTACCAAACCATACAACCGGTCCCCTTTTTACTATTGATTAGGATATTATGAAACAACAATATTGTCTTTATGTGTATAGTTTCAATCTGGAGTAGTTGATAAAGAAGCATCATGTCATTTCATCCACTAATTTAATTCATTCAATGGTACATTTCATCAGGTCCATCATCATTAATTGTGCAACAGTTCAAACAAAAACAAAAAATGAAAATATTCATTTAGGTGCCTAGACAATCTTTGTTTTGTACAACTGATAACCAGAGGCTACAATTATTGGGGGATTATGACCAGGTTTAATTAAAATATTGTATAAGATTATAAGGTAGTTTGATAGGAAGTCTGACAAATAGTTCAATTCTTAATGCTCCAGTTGGTTATTCAATTGAAAATCCTTAACCAAATTATACATATATCTAATTGTTCCTGGTTTGTCCAAATATCCGTAAATTACAGGAGGCACAAGGTATTTTCACAAAACAAGATGTTCAACGTGGTCAAAGATAGAGAAGGATACACAATAAACTGAAATGGGGAGAATGCCGTACAGTATAGTACATTTGTATCTAAGCTGGGTACTATTGTCAATGATTTCAAAAACACGGATGAAATACTGGCAATGTAAAAGCATCTTACTCTTGTATTTTTGTATGCCTCACAAATATGTTATGTCTTACTAAAAAATTTCTTATTTCCATAATCAAAATACATTTATTTCTCTGTATCACTACTATCAAGCATCTATAAAATGTTTCAATATACAGGAATATTAACTTATCTCAAGTTATTTCCCCTTATCAACTGTTGTTTTAAAGAAAAAAATGCAAATCTTTCATCTGAATTTTTTCAATTATCTAAAACAATTAAGAATACATTTAGTGTAGTTCTCCAGAAAAGTAACAATCTACAATGTTGCTGATTCATCCCCAGCAGGACCTGAGGCATCAATACAAGGCAGTCTGGTGGTAACAATTCGTTGAGAAGCATGTCTGTTTTTGTAAACATCAAACAAGAATCAGATTAACAATGAATTACTATGTTGTCTCCTAATCATATATCTACACCAGAATGGCTGACAGCGGCTCAATCAACAAGTTATATAATTAACTCATTGGGACAAGTTTTTTGTGATTTTTTTTAAACAGTGCAATGCCCTCTGGTTGATAAAACGATGATAATGATTTTGACACTGTATCAGATTTAGTTCAGTTCTTGGATCAAGATAAGAAAATCTATACAAACAAGAAAGTTTCATCAATCACGATCAATTCAGCCACTTAAATCAGAGATAATGAAACCAGTACTAACAGATAATACAGACCAAATATATTGTCTTTTAAACAATGAAAATATTTAAAATGATAATTCCATGATAATTTGAACTCCATTCACGTAGATTTCCACCAACAAATGACAACCCAGTTTTGTGATTTTGTCAAAGATTTAAAATTTTCTTCTGTCAATGGGGAACAACATGCCAAAGGATTTTACTGAAGACAAGGTAAATAGCATAATTACAAACCTACTCAGCAGAGAAAACAAACTCTAATAATGGATAAGAATGGATCATTCTAGTTATTTTGTACTCTCTATTTCACACAGGACTATTCCTTAGATTGACAGTTGTGTACATATCTTTTTCCATGAACAAACTTTAAGCCATAGTAGGTCATATAAATAAAAAAAATATTGCAAATGTTGACAAATTGGTGTTAGCAAACTGAGCTTACGACAAAAACAGAAACATTGCAGCAAAAGAATATCATAATATTTAATACCAAAACAGTGTTTTAGTATGAAAAATGTCAGAATAATGAAAAAACGAACTGGATTTAAAACAACATGTTAAAGACATCTTCATTTAAAACTTAGCAACAGCAATAAATAAAGCATAACCAACAAAACCGAGTTCTTTACAGCTCACTATACAAACCAATGGGAGATCATTTGATTTAATATCAGTTAGGGTGTACTCTACCACAGTGACAATACATGTTAACACATACCACAAAATGGCTCTCGCTGAAATATATAACACACTTAAAAATGACTTTCCAGTACTGTATTTATCCTTCAAGATGCCCAAGGGAACTTGTAATAATTTGGACACAATGTCAGGGAGTGGACTTTCAGTTATTGCATTACAATGTGTAGCATTTTGTTTGTAATTTCTATGTGGAGGCTGTAGACAGGGGAAGGTTTTCATTGCCAGACATGAGCATATTACTGGATGAAAACAATTTAATACCTGTTAAAGATTTTAGCAGATTTCTAGGAATCCTTCATGAAATTTTCTTGTGCCATTGAGTTGTCATTTTTGTTTTAAATAGAGATCAAAGTTAATGGGTTTTTTGATGATCTGTTGTTTCTATGAGAGAAAAATTTTTTTTTTTTAAATGAATGACCCAACTGTTTATACACGTAGTTAGAACGAATGCATTATAGTTTCATGGAATGCACTTCTGGGTGAAACAATGGAATATTGTCAATCTTCTTCAATTTATACTTATTGGCTTAAATATCTGTACAATATAAAGTTTCTAAATTATGTTTTAGAGGTCATGGAAAGGCTATACAAATGTATCTATTGTCAATATTATCAAAATTGTATTTACAAATTGAGCTGCATTTCATTTTAATTCAATAACAACAATTAAATTTATTTTAAAATTAACTTTTTTGTACATAACAGAATACACAAAGATAATCTATTAATGTTTACAAAATAATAGTTTACATTTCCCGTAGTCTATAATATTAAATTAACGTTTCCATAATTGTATATGCTGAATATAATTTATAATAAATGGTATATTATCCAATATGAACACTTAAACAACCACACAGGTAACTAAGGTAAATGATATTTTTTATAATAATTAAGACCTCTCTTAGTCTCCCACTTATTTTCTGCCTGGAGATTTTCATCTACAATATATTCTGAATAGCTACAAATCGCTTCGTAACCATGCAATATTTCCATCACTGTTAATGAAAGTACATTTATTTCAAAACAGATACAAAAAACAGCTTGACCATATCCAAGCTTCACTAACAGAACCACATGTTCCAAAGTTGCAAAACCACACTTTTCCAAAGGAAATGTTTTCAGAAGTGACGAAGAATAATTTAATAAAAACATTTTGAGGTCAGAAATGTCCTTCATTATATGTGAATATTATCCTGTGAAATAATGTCAGGCCCAACAGAAGAAGTGTGTCCTACCAAAAAACTTCAAAATTGTACTGTCAAGGTAAGTTGAATAGAAATGAGAAATAATAATGGTATATCATTGTTCAAGCATCAAAACTTATACTGCATAGAGGTAACGACTGGTAATATATTCCTGCATGTGTATAACAATGTAAACTTGTAAAATATATTCTTGACTAAATTAAAAATGCCTAAATATGGATGCTTGCTCAATGTAAAATATTGAAATTCATTGTACAAAAGAGTAAAAGTTAGCATATAATGTATTACACTGTATTATAACAAGAGATATGTTTGTACATTTCAATAATTTTGTAACTTATAAATAATCTACGCCAGTGTTTACTGTATTTATTGTGTCATCGTTATAATATAATTAGACTATTGGTATAAATATGCTTTATCTACAGAAATTGATAACAATTATAACATAATATAAAGATTACAACAGTTTGTCGTTTATATTTAAAATCTTGAATTAATCTTGTGTCTCCCAATCATGGTATTACAGTAAAGCATTCTATTACAGTTAGTTTGATACATAATTGATATTAAATTACTTGCTGTTATAAATCCATGATGTTATTATCTCCCAATTAAATATCTGGTGATCTCCTATGCTTTAATCCATGATTTGAAATATCAACCAATTCTCCAAAACAAACAAACAGATGTATGACTATCAAAAATTTATGAAGAATAATGCATTTAATACAAACCAGTATATAGAAAAAATTCCGCAGAAAAAAGGAAGAAAGAAAAAATGATTATTATATTTCTTTTTACCTTAACAATAGAACGTATACCGGCTTAAAGTTTCACATCAATTTACAATGTAGAAGTTTCCTGAAAAATTCCATAAGATAAACATAACACGATAAATTCCACAAACATCAGAACAATTTCTGATGGAACATTTCTGTACATACAGCAATCAGTACATATCACAACTCAGGAAATTCTGAATAATATGCTGTTTCTTGAACCAGGTAATTGTTAAATGTTTACACTGGAGTCCAGTTTCCATGTGACTTCAACATGTTAAGTGCTCCTTTCTGGAATACCGATAGTTTGTAATTAAATACAAATGTTTAAGTCTCTTTGAAATACAATAAGCAGATTTAATGTTCTATTTCCCAAATTATTTTTCTGAATATGTTATACAAACAATAAAAACAAATTAGAAAAAGTAGAGAAATCGCATTGCAGACTAAGTAGAAATCATATAAAGGACAAAATATGAATCCATAAATCTTCTCCTCCAGAGTAGTTAATAATAAAAAAATTGATAAACACAACAATTACATTTTCGAACGCTACAATCTGTTGGAAGCCATACCGAAAATTATCGCAGGGAAGCATGTGAGAGCTGCATTGGCATTGCCTGGAAATCCTCTTAACATAAATCAAATCACTAAAACTCATTACCTCATGGTACTTGTGTTATACACTGCTTTCTGAGAAATAAAAAAATCTGCAATAGGAATCTTTGAGAGTGCGTAACAAGTCAACCACTGTTTGAGAGATATTAAAGTTTAACAAGAATGTATTTTCAAGCAACAAAATAGCCATGGTGAAATAACGGCTCAAGCTGATTGAAAACATTCATAAAGGAAAGAAAACTCTTCTTAAAATCTTTGAACAATATAAAAGGTAGCATACACCTTTAACATTACATTAGATTGTGACACTAAGACTGTGGACACACCAGCAAACAAACATAGTAACACACACATACAGCAGCTCAAATTCCCACTACCTGTAACTGGAGTGGAGGCGTTGGGTATTCACTTCAAATAAAATGGGTGTGGACTACAGATAGTAGAAAAATCACAAAACAAACAAACAGCTTTAGAAAAAGAGAGATACAATATATGATGACATTGTAATACCATTTTATGACTAGTTTTTTTCTGATGAAGCACTGAACATTAGCAAATAATCTCCTTTTATAGAAAGCCCTGCAATTACGAGAAACATTATAAAACTAGCGCTATTTGTTGCTTCTATTTCAATATTCAACCATGATTTCTTTGTACAAAATTTTAGATCTCTGTACTACAACATGACTTGATCAAAATCTCTTTAATTACTGCACGATTTTCTGCATAACATAAAAATATCAAAACTAAAACGTTTTTGATGGTTTTCTCACTTAAAGATAAACATTTTGACATTGAAGTGGCATTCATTTTCAACCCTCATGAAAGACAAACCTACTTAATTGCTGTGATAACCTTCGTCTCTGAACAAGACAGAATGTTCTTGACTAAAGGAAGCCAATTCTTTCACAAATTCCTCAAGAATGAGAGCACAGTATACAATATTTCGTGTCTTTGAAGAGTCCATTGGGTTTGTGGGTACTGGTTCTGGTATTCTCTGTCTATGCACATATCGGTATCCACGGCCAGGCACCATCTCCATCTGGGGAGCTCCTCTTCGTGGTGCTGCTAAGGGTCGTTTGGTCCCCACTGGGGAGCGTCTAAACAGCAAGTCCGTCAGGCTCAGCTTCTTCTTTTCTGCAGAGAAAAACAACAAAGAATATTTATAATCTACAACACACATGAGAATTGAAATTAGTGTGTATTTTACATTTTATCTCTTGGTATTAAATTAGTGATTTCCAGAATGGTATGCTAATCATTATTTATAGATGTTTTGGGCGTGGGAGGGATGGTGGGGACTTACCTTTGATCTGGGGAGGGATGGTGGGGACATACCTTTAATCTGGGGAGGGATGGTGGGGACTTACCTTTAATCTGAACATTGACATTATCTATAGGTGATATTTTGGGTGTGGGAGGGATGGTGGGGACATACCTTTGATCTGGGGAGGGATGGTGGGGACATACCTTTGATCTGGGGAGGGATGGTGGGGACATACCTTTAATCTGGGGAGGGATGGTGGGGACATACCTTTGATCTGGGGAGGGATGGTGGGGACATACCTTTGATCTGGGGAGGGATGGTGGGGACATACCTTTAATCTGGGGAGGGATGGTGGGGACTTACCTTTGATCTGGGGAGGGATGGTGGGGACATACCTTTAATCTGGGGAGGGATGGTGGGGACTTACCTTTAATCTGAACATTGACATTATCTATAGGTGATATTTTGGGTGTGGGAGGGATGGTGGGGACATACCTTTGATCTGGGGAGGGATGGTGGGGACATACCTTTGATCTGGGGAGGGATGGTGGGGACATACCTTTAATCTGGGGAGGGATGGTGGGGACATACCTTTGATCTGGGGAGGGATGGTGGGGACATACCTTTGATCTGAACATTGACATTATCTATAGGTGATATTTTGGGTGTGGAAGGGATGATGGGGACATACCTTTGATCTGAGGAGGGATGGTGGGGACATACCTTTAATCTGGGGAGGGATGGTGGGGACATACCTTTAATCTGGGGAGGGATGGTGGGGACATACCTTTGATCTGGGGAGGGATGGTGGGGACATACCTTTGATCTGAACATTGACATTATTTATAGGTGATGTTTTGGGTGTGGGAGGGATGGTGGGGACATACCTTTGATCTGGGGAGGGATGGTGGGGACATACCTTTGATCTGGGGAGGAATGGTGGGGCCATACCTTTGATCTGGGGAGGGATGGTGGGGACATACCTTTGATCTGAATATTGACATTATTTATAGATGTTTTGGGTGTGGGAGGGATGGTGGAGACATACCTTTGATCTGGGGAGGGATGGTGGGGACATACCTTTGATCTGGGGAGGGATGGTGGGGACATACCTTTGATCTGGGGAGGGATGGTGGGGACATACCTTTGATCTGAATATTGACATTATTTATAGATGTTTTGGGTGTGGGAGGGATGGTGGGGACATACCTTTGATCTGGGGAGGGATGGTGGGGACATACCTTTGATCTGGGGAGGGATGGTGGGGACATACCTCTGATCTGGGGAGGGATGGTGGGGACATACCTCTGATCTGGGGAGGGATGGTGGGGACATACCTCTGATCTGGGGAGGGATGGTGGGGACATACCTTTGATCTGAATATTGACATTATTTATAGATGTTTTGGGTGTGGGAGGGATGGTGGGGACATACCTTTGATCTGGGGAGGGATGGTGGGGACATACCTTTGATCTGGGGAGGGATGGTGGGGACACACCTTTAATCTGGGGAGGGATGGTGGGGACATACCTTTGATCTGGGGAGGGATGGTGGAGACATACCTTTAATCTGAACATTGACATTATTTATAGGTGATGTTTTGGGTGTGGGAGGGATGGTGGGGACATACCTTTGATTTGGGGAGGGATGGTGGGGACTTACCTTTGATCTGGGGAGGGATGGTGGGGACATACCTTTGATCTGGGGAGGGATGGTGGGGACATACTTTGATCTGGGGAGGGATGGTGGGGACATACCTTTAATCTGAACATTGATGTTATTTATAGGTGATGTTTTGGGCGTGGTCGGAGTTGTGGCCACATTCTGTGGTAAAAAGCTGTAGTTTCGTCCCAGTCGCCAGTTCTCCTCACGACTAGCCAAGTTCTGCCTCGCTTGCAAAAGGAGATCTTCAAAGTTTGGAATTGTGTATGAATAGTTGTCGACCTTCTGACGCACTGAGGTAAGGACCTGGAAAAGCCAGAAAATATCTTCACTTGTACTACAATCTCGCATTGACAAAAACACTTGATACTGCAGAAAAAATTACAATGGGTACTGTAAAGGACAGGGATTCGAGCACTCACTATACTTTACCATGCAGAAAAAGTGTATTAAAAAGGAATAATATGAATCATGATCAGCGGAGGATATAAAATTTTGTATAATATTCCTAATATAACTTAGATATTTTTAACGAGTTCACCTATCACAGCTTTATATATTTGTATATATATATCTGCCGTACAGACTTTGAGTTTGACTTCATGAGCTAACAGAATAATCACAGAATTATAAGACTCAGTTCACTTAATGCCTTAATGTTTTCATACCATCTTGTTATTAGTAACAATTTGAAGAAAATTGGACAAAAAAATAGTTAAAGTATACTGTATTATAACAAAGTATATAGTAAAAACACACACTTTTAACAGGTAACATAAATAATACACCCACACACTACACTCTATGTAAATAATAACACACGAATATGTAACACAGAAAAACACCTTAAGTTTAAAAAAAGTGGGAAAATAAAACAACAATGCAAAGCATTATGAATTTATGATACAAATCATAAATTACATAATTCAACATAGACTTCTTTCATTCATGTCCAAATCCATATTCTCCATATCCTAAACCATATCGATATATTTCCACATCCACTATACCCATTACCATGTGAATTCACTTGTTTAAGTGTTATAACACTTTCAAAACATAATACACATTCAATCTTTGATGTTTTTAGTTTATCAAAGCCTGTTATATATGTATGAGACATTCAAAGTCGTTATATGATATAAGGATTGACTGACGGCTTTCCAGTCAACAAGATGGCCAAGATTTGATTCTCTGATTGGGTGAGAGAAAGGTCAAGATCTCTTGTACTAAAATTGTACATATATTCCATTAAAACACTACACAATTGTTGTAATTTAAAAAACTCTAAGAGTTATCAAGAATATGGGGAATAGATCCTACGCATCACTGAAAATGGTGAACTTTAGGCCTATTTCAGTCAGAAGCCAAAATACAAAGAGGGAAAAATACAAGACAGTCATGAAGATTACATGAATAAAATGACAATGCTAAGGTTAGATTGATATATCTTCTATATTTGATGTCATGATTTAGAAATATGTTAAATGAAATAAACTAAATTAGCTTTATTTTGGGGAGAAAATGCACTTATTTTGAGAAATTTCTTTTGTTTTCAATATATTTTCTTCACAGGGAATTTGTTCATACTCAGAGGGGAAATCAAAACATTTGATGAATAACTACCCTTTTACTGAACAAAAATTTGTTGATATATAATCCAATAATAGCCATTGAAATGTCCAATGCCACACAGATACAATGTCCAATTCATGATCATGTCAATAAAAAACAATAAGTTTCATTGCTACCGGTATTGTTACTTTAATGGAACAGGTATGCATACAGTTGTGATTTTATAATGCTTTTCATGGGATGATTTTATGGGCAGTTCACTGCTAAATATATCAAGTATTCTGTTTCATCAAACAATTTAGGTTTTTTCTACATACTCTAACTTGCTCCCATATTAAAACCTACCGACTGCATGATAACTGTCTCACCACATCAGATTTGTGCTATGATAAATTCTATTTCTTACCTACTACTGTACGATATACTTGAAGTTTAATTCATTTAGACAACATGCGGGACATTTACATAAGGTGAATATATTTCAGAATGGAACGTAGTCAATAACTGTCACACCTACATGCACATATACACAAACACTGCCGAACTCATAAGCATACATATTGGGGATTCAATACATATATATATATACATACAAAACTATGGAACCCACACGCATGCACATGACTATATATGTGTGTGTACCTGGACTAGAGATTTGACTGTGGGTTGGAATACAAGGTTATGATTGAGGAGAAAGGATCGCAGCAGTGGTTGAGGGTAGGCTGCCAGACGAGCTATCACCCCTGTCAACACTAAGTTGATGGAGAGGTTGTTTTGCATCATTCCTTCCAGTTTGCTAAACAGACTGCTCAGGAACGGTCCTGTAATGTAAGAGGCTGTTAATGCATCGTCTACATTCTCAGTGACATGCTCAGTGAAGCAGGTGATCAATTCATTGAATACATATTTCACTAGATCAACATATCAGTCCTTCTGTTATATGAAGATGGGATAGGTGACGGTTCCTATTTCAAACCATTGTATATACAAGCTAATAGATGCAAATAATAATACTGGTGACTATAAAGGATGATATCTGTATAAAACGTATATCGGTATGTAACTATTTAAGAAACTAAACAAGAAAATTTCACATTTTGAATATTTCTAAGAAACTGATGCAGCTTTGATAAAGCCTCAACATACTGGAGGCATCATTCAAACTTTGTTCATGTTCTAGTCAGGCAAACAAAACTGACAATTTCAAGATCAATAAATAAAAAAGGATTCTCTGAATGCTAAAAAGGCTGGGCATTTCAGTAATGAAAATACAAATACATACTATGTTGAAATAGAACGTACTATTGATTTCATTGATTTTATGTAACTCAAATTAATTGAATATTATATCGTTTTTTGCTAATATTATGACATCACAATAACAGTGTAAGTGTTCGTGCAGCCATCCATAATTACTGCTCGAAATTCAAGTTATTTACATAAGGGTTGACATTTCAGCAAAACTGTTACCTGCATATAATTGTGAAAAAACAGGAATATTTTAAATGGATGAAGCTGCAGCTTGTACAAGTCATTATCTAAATAACCTTGTTTGTGATATCAAACACATGATTGACAATGTTGCAAAATGTTGATGGTTGTGTAATGAAGGATCTTACCTATGGTAGGTGAGGTGTCCGTCGGCTTACCATGCGAGTCTGAAGAAGGCACTTGGATAATTCCTGAGGACAAGGTTGGCATTTGCATAGAAGGGTTAGGGAGGGAGAAACTCACAGATTTTGTGGGAGAGCGACATCCATTTTCTTTTGTATTCACTGATGTCAAAGAATTAGTACGTGTCAGTTTTGATAAAGAATCGTGTACATTAGTGTCTGATGTGAATGAGGACAAAGTGATTTCTACGAAGCTTGTTGCATCCTGAGGATAACCAGGGGACGTCTGCTCCTCTGATCGGCCTGAACCATCTTCAGAAACGTGCATCACTTTGGAGTCTATCACATCAAATGCTGTACCATCATTTTGACTTGATGGAGTATGTAAAATTTGATTATCAGTAAGTTGTGACCCTGCACTACTTCTGAATACACTATCACTTCCACTGGTGTCCTCTAGCTGGGTAGATAAACTGGAACCAGATGTCTCAGAACAAAGACCAGTCAGAACGGAGTCCAGAGACAGAATACTATCTTCTATTGTCCTGTCCTGTTCATATTCTGGTGGCGTACCCACCTCTAGTGTCAAATAGGACAGAAATTCAGAAATGTCCTCCTCATCTGATGCACCCCACCGGTCAGAGCGTGATGAATCATAATGTCTCAAAATTTCAGACACTTCAGACTGATAAAATGGAGCCCTTTTACTATCCTCGTCCGGAGATGTCACATCAATCAATGCTAAATATGACCTAAAGTCACGGTTAACTAGTGCAGATCCTTTAGAGATTATACTGGGTGAGGTAAGCCCAGTTGGCGTGCTGCCATCACTGAACACGGCTGAATTCACATTACCGTGAGACAACATTAGTACACCGGGTGTTGTGTTGTTACCTACTGTACTATCTAACACTGATTCACCTATACTAGGACGTTTACTATCATCACACACACTGTCAGGCGATGATGGTGTATCCAGATCTGTAAACACAGTGGGTGAGGGATTGTCCCCGTCGTAAGGGTATGCCCAGATACGACAAGCCTTACATGTATTCTCTAGTGATTTTCGTGCCTCTAGGAGATACTCGTTGTAGTCAGTTTCATAGTGCTCCAGCCTGCTGCCTTTGGAGCTCGCTGGGGACAGGGTAGTCTTTGGTGTTTCAATGGACGAGGCAGCTCTAGAGGAAAATGAAGAAAAGGAAAGTTGTAGAGTTTTGCAATAAAATCATGATTTTGTTTTTTACATATAAAATACAACAAAAATACATCATAACATAAGTATACAACAACTATCAATCCTTCTACACAATGATCAGGTAGGGCAGGAAAAATGCTCAAGTAACACACTAAATCTCTCAGCAAACTGAATTGCTTAATTGAACACCTCCTTCATAGTTTAACACTGCACAATTTGAACTTCAATGTTTCCAATAATTTTTGAGATTTTTTTTCTGTTTTAGATGATCAGTTGACATATCAACACTAGCGTATCTTCATCCAAATCAACTGGCGGTGATGGCTAGTTACACAGTGTAAGTGTTTCTCAGAACAATGTGATCAGGTTGGTGTTATGCTACAGTTTGACATTTCAGTGGGATGACACTACAAATGGCCCTTGTGTGGCCTCATCTTCCCTGGACACCATCTTAAAATAGCCCAACTGGCTGTATATGTTACTTGATATACATGAACTACAACTTTCTGTGTCATTTTTTTCCAAACTCTTATTAATGTAATATATTTTCAAAACATTTCAAAAGCATCGACGTTTGTATTACATAAACATTGCAGCTATAAAGCAGTCATTAAGGATACTTTATACTAAGCATTACTGTTATCATGATTCAATGCTTTAACCAATAGAAGAAAATTAATTTACATGTACCGAGAGGTTTGAGGTCTGAAACATCCAATTGAGGTCAATCATCTAAAGAATTGGTTATAATGTTAACATGTTAATTCAGAATGCTAACTTTATAAACATCAAACTGCTGCTGAGTAATCACTTTCCCTCTTTAAATCAAAACTTGTACTAACAACATAGAAGATGGGATACAGGGATAGATCCTGGAAAAACTAAAAGTTATGTGAATCATGGGTAGAAATGATGCATGCCGTGTCACGGGGAATTCCTCTCTTACATGTGGATACAAATTATAAGAAAACTGAAAACCAATACAAAATAGGGTGTAGCTATGCAAAAAACTTCATATTTTTTACAAGATTTATCAAAATTCATCCTGAATGAGTGTAAGTTTTGCTGATATCCTTAGAATGAAATGGAAAATGCTCAATTTTGCCGAAAATATATAAAACTGTCGAGTGAGGCAAAAAAACTGATTCAGCTTCACTAGCCACATAAAACAAAAGCTTTCATGTGAGATTGTTTACAGTATATATAATATGTAGGCAGGTGATCAAGTATTTTGATTCATTCATACTAAAAGAATTTTGGAGGGAATTACCATTCATTTAGTGACAATGACAAACTTTACCGTAATTATCAGATGGAGGTACAAATTAATCATCTTATTTAAAAACAACAATCCCGACAGTAAAATTAAACTGGTTGCTTATTGAATCTTACATCAATACAATATAATCTGCGAAATACATGCACACGATCCAGAAACATCATTCATCAAATCAATATCAAATTCATCATTCAGGCAGGGACAACACACTACTCCGAACATGATAAATTCTATGGTTGCTGTCTTATAGAGAGAAAGTGTGCCAGTGACATGCCTACCACTAGGTTTTCATTACCATGCATACAACAAACAGAATGATCACAGTCACAAATAAACAGCAACATCAAAAGCTTCCTAAGAAATGAAAGTTATTCAGATTTTGCTTAAAGATTAAGGAACCAAAAATCAGAAAATTGAAAGAACAAAGCATTTTAAACTAGAAACTATCTAATAGATTTTTGAACTTACAAATCTCACCATTTACATATTAAAAGTAGTGATACTACACAAAACCTCCAATTCCATTTATTATTGGATAACACAAAATTTGATGTTACAAAATCTTCAAATCAATGCATGAAATTAACATGATCCAATTCTAGTTAACTTCAAACCATAAACCATATTCCGTTATAATTAACTGTGTGTTATATCTATAACATGTATGGAATCATGATTATTTCATTTAAGTAAGAATTCAAAGGAGATAACACATGAAGGGTTAAATATTAGGATTGGAGTCATGCAAATATTCAACATGCCCTGGGGTTAGTGTTACCTTCTACGTGTACGCTGGTACTCCTGTTCCTGTTTTCGTGCTCGTAGAAAACTGCCGAGCCCACGCTTGGGCCTGGAGGCCGGGGGCATGGCTGGGGTAGGGCTAGTGATACCCAAACCCACACATCTATATATACAGAAGGACATAGAGGATGTGGATACAGTCCAATGTCCAATGGGAAACAGTTACCTACACACAACACAGTCTGTCAGCCCCAATACACCACCAAAATAGTCAAAATTTATTACACATACTTCATACATAAATTTCTTGGTTTCCAATGATAGTTCACAAGTGTTAACCAATTAATGATGAGAATGGCAGCACATTTAGGGAGAAAGTGCACTTAAATTAATTTCTTTTTCAAGATTTTGTGTTTTGTTTTTATTTAAACACAATTTCAATCAAATTAATAATTTTTTGTTAAAATCATTATTTGTTTACCAGTTTCAGTTACATTTTAAAGACATGTCCGTATAAAAACTCTGACAGTCTGGTTTCTCTGAAGTATATCATTCTTTTAATCCGTTAAAATAACAGGCTGTGTTGTGTTTAAACTTACTGAAGAACAGTTAATCAATGGTGTGAACAGGTAGTGCAGGACAAACCAAATCAGCTACAAGATGACCAAAGAACATAGGTGAAGCATGCAAATTACAATAGGAAAACTTTCAGTAAATTAAATTAAGTATCAAATTACTCCTCATTGTTTTTGTTAGAAAAAAAAGCCACGAAAAAAGAAAAAAAAAAAAAAAATAGAGAAAGCCAAACTTGAAAAAAACTAGAAAAACTAGAAGACAACACTCTGAAAAACAGATGTGCATTTGTGAAGCCTCCAAAGCGTGAATATTTTAATTTCTTTTTTTTTGTTTATTGAATATTCAACCTGTGATACTGGTACCCTATTTTCTTGGTCATAATCAGATAGGGGAGCATTAAGAACAATATGAAGGAGTATAATATATCAATCAAACATGTTCTATGTACAGTTTTTTATTTGAATGTAAGTTATAATTATCTGTGGTTTTAATATCCATTAACAATACAAAGTATAAAGCTATTGAGTCCAAAATGCACAAACATTCTATGATAAGAGCATGCGCTTGTCCTATAGTGTTGAGGTTTTAGAGTCTGAACATTTCATTTAACTCAAAGTTGATATCATCTTCAATCAACATGAAATTTCAAAATCAAGAATCAAGAACATTAAGAATGACAAAATAAAAATAGAACATTCTAAAACAGACAGCAAAACCACAACACTATCATATTAAAACTAATTTTTTTCTCATACATTAATATTTAAATGTTAATTACTTTTAACTGTACTACAAAATCATGTACTAAATGAATATATTCACTCGAACACAAACTGGTAAGTAGAAATAGAAATTGATAAAAAAAGAAAAAAAAAAAAAAAAACAAAACGAAAATCATTTTATAAAAAATAAGTATATTATGTTACAGAGAAACTTTGAATAGATTGATCTCTATTAAAAACCTGCATGACTATATGCAACTGAATAAAAACAATTACTTACCCAGTAGTATTATAAATCTTTGATTGCAATTAAAAGAACTGGCACAGAACAACACAGAGCACTATGTTAGTAGTGGATATCAGTACACCAAGCCAACATAAACATACCTTGCAAACCACCATTCTACATTTTATATAAAAAAACAAAGTCTACATATGGAAGAATAACAAAAAGGGAGACAGTTGGTTCTATACCTGTCTGCAGTTGGTGAAGAGTTACTGCCCTTTGGACTTTCACTTAGATCTGGTACGCAACAGTTAGGACGGAGGGAAAGGAACTTCTCAGCACTCTTGCCATACAGATCTACATCTTTCACAGCTCGCCGCTGACTCACCATGACGTGAGTGCAGGGAATCAAATACCTGGTATCGAAAAAAAGTTTTTCTGTGACATAAAATGTAACAATATTTTAAAACATATTAAAATTGTCTGAAGTTTTACCTAATTAATTGGGTCATTAGTGTTTGCTACAGATACACTGTTTACAGGTCCAAATGTTTTACAATATTTAGCTAATGTGTATAAGATACCTGTAATACATGTTTTTTTCTCTATCTACATTGAATAATGAGGACAAACATTGCTCTGTTCCCTTCATTGCCAAAATAACTACATAATACATTTCATGCTGTATATGATCAGAAGCATCTTCATTCTGACAGAGATTTATTTGCCTATCTGCTAAATTAATCTTTTTTAAGTCACAAATTCATTTGATTTTACTACCGTATTATGTCACAAGTTCTCTTTAAATCATAAAACACAGGAAATACATATTTAACATAAAATGTAGAATTCATTTAAACAGATTTGTTCAGACATGTAAAACACCATCTATGAAACCCTGCGGTCAACTTTAATGACTGTGGTGTAATAGTACCTGAGGATCAGCTGGAACATGACATCTTCACAGTTCTTATCAACCAGTGTTTTAAACAGGGAAAGGGAAACCACACACAACAGCTGAAAAACAAGACAAAGAATAATCAGTACTTTTACACAGATTTCTTAATCTATTACAATAATTAATATGCTTATTTGATATTATTTAATGAAGCAGAAACTCATTTTCAATTTCTTAAAGTAATTTTGTCTTTGACATACCATTCAATCTAGCACGAATAACCAGCATGTTGTATATATATACTTTCACCATATTAGTGCACTAAGACATAGCACAGTCATTCCAATGACTATGTAATGATAATGAATAGTTCACCAAACAGTCAGATGTTCCAGACTGTAGTCTTGACCTTATGGAGATTTTACAACAGCTACTTTGTCAGGAACTAAAAACCATTCCTGTCTCACTTGGCTGAGCATGTCTTTACCTTCACATTAAGTGAACTGGAGCCTAGAGGTATAAAATGTTTTGTTGTGCCACTGTACAGAAAACAGCCTATTTTACCATTACAGCTGAATTTTACATTGTAAACACTAAGACACTTACTCTAGACATTTTTATACCCACAAAATAATCCGTACTTAAAAACTTAATGAGAGGACCATAATCTTCAAGGTATATAATGAATATTTATCAAAAAAGTAGAAAAAGTAAACTTAAAGTTAGTAATAAATGAAGGATTTCGGTTTCTTTCTTATCTATAATGATATAAACAGGAAAGCTGTAATATCAAAAATTTACTTTTGTGCTGCTATTGATCCTTGTGACCAGGGATTCCAGTATAACTATCTCATCATTCTGTTCTGTGAGGATGAATTTGAGGAAAGCACGAGTAAGTGCTGGCTCTGAAATCTTCCTCAGAAACAGTTCCAGGTAGGCCGTAGCAGCGATCACCTCCTCCCGAGAATTCTGAAATCACAACGAATATGACATCAACATTAATTCTCTCCACAATTGTAATGGGAACAAAAACTATGGATAAACATATTCAAACTAAGTAATAGAAACAATTCAAATCAAATTAAAATATTATCCAAGTTCATGAAGATTAATGTATTGTTTTCCAAGCATCACAATCTACTTTCAGTAATTCACAATGTGAATATTATCCTAGTTTAAGGAAAACGTGAAATAGAAAGTCTCCCGACTCCTCTCCACCCATGAAAACAAATTAATAGCTGTTAATTGATGTAGTTATATATGATAAATAACAATATCTAAACTTAAATCTCTCTTTTTGACTTCGTATCATGAACTAGACTTACAGACATAATATCTGTTTTTTAACAATAAACTTTAATAATGGGAGACAACTTAGCAATTTTACCGCAAAAAAATGACTCTTTAATTGTACATATGCCAGAAAAATGGATGTATTAATACCTTACAAAGACAGTAAAAGTCTTCATCCTTGTGGTGGCCAAATACACACAAGTTTTACATTAATCCTTATCAGTAATGCTAATTAGGAAAGCCTGATCTTATGCAAAAATAATAACAGCCTATATGAAAATATTTTGATACATTGATGGTGCTATTCAACAAAGTCTAAAGCATGACACAATCCTGAGCAATAGGTGTTTAACAGCTTGCAAAATTTCAGTGCAAAATAGCAACTGCAAACATTAATGCAAAAATATGGTATACCATACAATATCAAACAAGACATCCCAGTTCCCTGTGTATTGTTCTAACTCCACACAACAAACATATCCCTGTTGTTTAGAAATCTGTGGTATCATTGAAAGGCAAGCAAACAACATGTAAAGCATGTTGGTTTATAAATAGTGAAATTACTTACTATTACATGAACGTTCAGAATATCTCTATGGTATCATTAGGTAATTAATATATCATTTTTGTAACTATGGACAGGATATATTTGCCGACATCAAAAGCTGTTTATTGAGTGAGATGAGCAAAAACATGTTCATATCAAACACCCATTATTTGCAAATAAATCATGTCACATAAATTAATCTTTGTATTTATTCAATATATCATTATAATCACAATATTCCATCTGGTTATACATCAAATAAAATCTTCATAATTTTCCGTATAAAATATTGTTTTGTATAAAATTATATTAAGACAGCCAGGTTGTAAGTTCTGCCCATGTAGTATGCTAAGAACGAATTCCAGGAGAAATGGATCAGTCTGCGACAAAGCCAACACAATACAAATTCAACAGCAATGGGTGGTGCAGAATTATTTTTTCCATCATTCTCTCTTCAGACAAAAAGGTGCCATTCAGAAGTACCCATGCAAAGCAAGCATTACACCAGATCATATCCAATGTCAAAACCCAATCATTACAATCAATAGCACTTGTTGTCATGTTATCAAATATTTGTTTGGATGTCCTAGAACGTGTATACATTTTATCTATCTATCAGATCTCACTGGTAATATGGATCAGATAACAAAGTTGATTGATTTCTGCAATGTTGCATGGTATGTGTACATTCTATTGTAACCAACCATCTAATCATTCCTAAAAATGTAAAAATCATTGGCGACACATCTTTTCATTAAGATGATAATGTTCATACGTATATTGTTACAAACTGATTTTTTTTTACTCCAAGCAGAGAAATAAATAAGATATTTGTGAAAGTATTATCACAATCAGTATATATATACATAAATTGTCCAAAACCAGCTATAGTTATCCACAGTCTAATAAAATCTGATGATCCTAATTTTCTGTCAATTAGTTTGCATTTCTTCCTCCAAATCTATACCATACTTTCATGCATTATACTGATATCAGGAATATTCAAATGGGTCACAGCATTTTGTTGATTTTCTTGGAGGTCATGCTATTTTATGACAAATTTTCATGCCATATTCAGCTAGTTAGTCATGGTTATCAACAGAGCTGTAACAACTGTCATAATTTGGGCTCTATTCAAATCAGAAATTTATATATGGTATGATATGGTAAGAGTCATGAGGTTCTAAACAAATGTGATTGACCAATCAAATGCTGTGTTACATCTTGGCTGCACTAGAGCAATATTCATCTGTTTAATAACCTTGACGTAACCTTCATACTATAGATATTTCTGTGGTTTATACTGACATACAGTTCTAGCCTCCAACACCCCTATCTACTCTACAATGTAAAGTGCATAGCAAGAGCTGAATACAAATTTGAACAAATTTAAACAAAGTCAAATGTATCTTTTTGTCTGGAGTATACACAAATACGTAGTTGTATTATATATGGTTATAACATTATGCATTTCTTTGGTGACACATTACTGGGTAAATGCTGATAAAACCTGTTTAATATATTGGTAAACTACATGTAATCCATATAAATTTGGATTAAAGGTGGGGTTTCCATCTATCTTTAACTCCCTTTGAATCTTCCAACGGAACATTTTTCTTAAACTCCCTTTGGAGTTTCCCACAAAACATTTTTCTTAAACTCCCTTTGGATCTTCCTGTGAAACATTTTTCTTTGCAAAACTTAATTATTTGGATTTTAATTTCAATCAGTAGATAATTATAGCATATGTTTTATTTTGTGGTCAAGGTTATTGCCTAGATTTAACAGCCAGGTTAGTTTTCAGGCAGGGTCTGACCACGTCGTAGCTGGTAGCTATCTCATTAAACAACATGCAGGAGGCCTTCATATGCTATCCAGAGCAAGTTGGGAAACTTCGGTAAAGGACACAACAAGAATGGTTCCCCAAGCAGGAATTGAACCACACACCTCAGATCATCAACTGATGTTGATTAAGACTAATACTTTAAAAAGTGGACAGCTATTGCGACCCAAATTATGTATGCATTAATTGCTTACTGTATTACTTGTCATAGCTTTAGACCAGTACATAACTTAGAGTGTTTAAGAGTGATCGTAAACAAACCATCATAAACACATGTTAATTAATATTTCTGTCTGCTCGTCACAAACAAATAAAAATAAAATAAATGAACCGTTTTAAATAATGGAAACCCCAACTTTATGATCTAGTTTTGATAAGATACTGTTCCATGATTTGTGTAATGACTTAAAAGAACTTCATTGTCAGTCAAAAAAACAAAAGATTATTTCTTTACAATTGTATGTGACAACTATTACATATCAATATCTTAAAAAAAAAAAATAGAAATGTTTTATCAATTCTTTGGAGTATTGTTTTATTGAAATCACAGATAAGTTCTTTCACAGCGATTGTAGTTAGTATAAACTTTAATTGTTTTCTATATTGAATTTTATTTGAACTGCAAAAAACATTCTTTTTCAGCATTGCATGTGCATGAGAAATAAAGCCGAATGAAACAAATGTTGGACAAGATATGAAATAAAAACTTGCAATACTGAAAATCAGGAATGAAACAAAAGTCACAACACAAAATGAAATAATGAAAACGTTTACTGACCGCAAACATTGGAGAATCAAGGAGGGGGAGTGGAAGTCCTGAAACGTCCTATAGAAATGTCAAAATATTTAGTGCCTTAACATCAATCACTCTAAAACATAGAAACATTAAACACCCACATCTGCTCTCTTTCTTTATTTCAGCACTTAGAACAACCTGAACAAAAAGTCTAATGGGCATCATGAAAAAAATGGCCTGGAACCACAGTGCTAAAAGAATAATCTTTCCTTTAACTGGTATACTCAAGATCGTAAAACATTCCATTTCATACTAACAAACATAAAGGTAATGCTATTTCTTAAATTCCAATTTAATTGATTGATCGCAAAGATATGAACTGGATAAATGACTCATGTGATTATGTACTGTATCAATTTTTTCCGGTCTCTTGCACATTTTCTTTGAAAAATACAAATAATAATCTACAAATAATAGGTTGTCTCAAATATTCTATCTTCTCTATTAGACAGCCAATCTATTCCTACATCTGTAGCAGTACATAATTACTTTCATATCAACAGTCTCCAGTCCTAAATATACCACCACCTGAATATGTGCAAGTTAATACACCTTCTCATTATTTGAAGCAATGATTACCCCATGTGTTTAGTAAATGTGTAATGTTATTGAGGAACTTGTAAAATAGCATCATCAATGTCAAATATTTACTTTCTTTTCTGAATTATTGAAATATTTACAAAATGGTCAGTAATGAACTTTTTACACATAACAAATACATGCTGCATTTGAATATTTGGAGTTTTGGCTTGCTTGATTACTCCAATATAATTGTTTATCATCACTTTTGTTTCTTGTTTTTTTTGGGTTTTTTTTAGGGGGGGAGTTGGGAGGGGAATGGGGGGCCTGGTTGGGTACCTAACTTGGTTAAGATGAGGGGCCTTAGGACTTTCACTTTTCTATTAATTTTCTAATTTAAAATCATTCAGATTACAAAAGTATTGAACCTAGTTAAATAATTTCAGTTTACAAACCAATTGTTGTGAAAGATGAAATATTATCTTAAATGTTGCACACAGTCATGTAAACCTAAATATAATCAATAAATAAACACATGATGTGAGACTATTGATTTACTAACAAAAAAGTGCAAGTCAGCTCTAGTGCAAAGTCCTGTGTAACTGACCCACTGATAGCTGTGCATTGCCTGGTGATGTTCTGGTTTCTGTGTTTTACAATACACTGACTCACAATACCACAACTTACACCATGACATAAAAGTCTACACACTAAATTCTACTATCAAATTTAGTACCTAACGGTGTTACTATAAGGTACACACTTATGTGGTGACTAATCTGGTAAGAGTTTTAAAGCCTAATCCCCCCCCCCTGTAATGAGAAAATTGAGGTGAATGACAGAGGTACTTAGTACAGTATTATGTAAAGATATTTCTCACTGACCATGTTCAGTTGGATAATCCTACTCCATAATTTATGCATAGAAAACTGCATCGAAATCATGCACTAATTATCAATGGAATTTAAAAGTCAATTTGTTTAAACTATTCCACAAAATATAGGGATTTAACCGTGAACTTTTTAGTTTAATTGTCAGTAAGTGTAGATACATTTTCTAGTAGTTTCTTTTGTCATTTTGTGGGTTGGAAGATTAAGTTCATCAACTGTGACGCAGTGAAAGAGTTTGATGTAAATCTTACCTGATGCAGGGCTGGACCCATCACAGGGACCAGGAAACCCTTGTATATATATTCTATCAGCTGTTCACTGACACTGGAGTGAGAGATCTGTAAAGAAAAATACCTTTTTCTCAAAAAGATTTTTATCAACAGCTACATGCTCTAGTTGAAAGTGTGATGTTGAAGTTACATGGCAACCTATGCTGCTGCATAGCAACATCTTAGAAAAAGCATGGACTAAAAATGATTGTAATTATTCAATATTTCTGATACTTTCTACACATGTTACAAAAGAAAATTCTGTAGTGTTATGAACAGAATTTTACATTCTTTTAATATTCATGCAAGATTTTACAAATCACATTACAAATTTATCATATTTACCTTCCCCTAGTGTCACCGATACGAAAAATACTAAGAATTATTCAATAAATATTATAATATCAAATAAATACTCATGTAAGATCCTGTATGTATCACGCTTTGAATATATGATAACACTAAATAAACACTAAATATACTTTGGTATCAAGTAAACCTCTGTTTATGTTAGTATTATGATACCTGTACTACAGCATTACAGAACTCCAGTGAGTTCAAGAACATCTGGATCCCTGGAACTTGGTTGATATCATCTTGTGTAATCTGGAACCAGTCCTCAGCAGGCACTGGTATCTTACGTGGTAGTGACGAGTACAGCCCACTTAATCCTGTCGCCAGTACCTGAGGCAGGCAAATCAAAAAAATATCATACACAGTATTTATTTTTTAATGACAGGCAATTTATTGAAAATAAATACATTCTATATATATCTATATCCATAATTTTTTTTGTAAAGTGAATAAAATATATACTTTTAATGTACTTCAGGTTGGGCAAATCCCAAAATACTTTCCCTTCAACTAAACTTCTATTGAAATCCATGTCTAAAAGCTATGAACTAGTCCCTGCAATTATTTATTTACTATTATTCTTGCTAAACACATTTCGGACACTTTAATACACTAATAAACTTGATTCCCATCAAATATGTAAAAATATATTAATTTGAAATTTTTAGTAATTTTCAATCAATGAAATGTAAACCTATAACGTTACATTATAAGCTGTGGATTTATTATCAATGTATCATGCAATTCACAATGTTGTAATCAATGTCAACACAGCTAAATGTACTTACAGGACAGAAGTCAGAATATTTCTCGATGTATTCCCCAATATGAGGGTGTTTAGATGACAGTGTCATGATCAACAGTAGAGAATCTCTAGACTGTTGTCCTATGGTTCCCTCACGGTGAATGAACGGAATCAGAAGTGAAAAAATCAGAAACTTGGCAGGACCATGGTCAGCATTAGCATTGAAAAAACTTTCTAAAATAACAGTTTGCTGGGAGATGGAAGCACATATCTGATGCAGTATCAGTACTAGTCTACTCTCAATTACTTGTGAGTTCGTGTCCTGTACACAAGATGACAAAAGTCGGAGGATAGGGTTTATCACAGCTTTGTGGATCAGCAACAACTGGTGAGATTGTCCTATTAACAACTCAAACATTCGTAACTGTTCTAGCTTTAACTTTTCTGTATATTCCTGCTGGTTTTGACACCAGGTACAAAATTTTTCAAAAATGTTCTGCTCAAGGAGAAAATGAAGGATAGGCCCAGGCATGCCTTGACCATTTTCATCCAAACCATCTTCACTGGCGAGCAAGTTAATCATTTGCTCAAAGTTTTTCACAACAGCTTCTACATCATCATAGCTGCATGACTCCTGATTTTTACTCAGGGTGCTGGATTCCCTTGCCATGATAATACTTTGAGCCTGTGTCCAGTGATTCTGGAAAACCTCCAAGCAAGTTTCCGGATCCGTGTCTGTTCTTGATCGTCCACTAGATGTACTGCCATTGTCGCTCAAATGGTCAGTATTCCTACTGTCTGCTTTTCCTCGCTTGAACCAAGACATGGTGTATCAAGATAATGATATTGATTCTAACCTGAAACAATGAAGAAATAGATAAATTATTTCAAAATCTGTACTGATTTTTTTTTCTTGCTTTGATGTTCATATATGCAAGTGTATATCTATTTATGAGTTAGACCAAAACTGATGCCTTCTAGCATGTTAGAATTCTTGGAAAACAGCAAATATGTACATACAAGAAATCTGTAGATAAGACAAAATGATATTTTACCAAATTGCTTATGTTCTAACATTTTGTAACAACATACACACAAAAAAAGTTTCTTCAACTTGTCTTCTCAAACAAAGTTATTTGATGTGTGATAAATATTGTGATCCCTCTGTGATGTTACCATGAGGAACAGTCTGACAATTCTGTGGTATCTTCATAGAGAACAATATAATAATTTTGAGGCGTCATCACAGGAAACCATCTGATATGTTTATGATGTCACTACATGGGGAACTGTCCAATACATTTGTGATGTCTCCATGGGACAAAAATAGAGAAAAAACTTTGATAATTCAAGTTGTAAAACATTGTATTAATCATCCTGTATACATGTTTTGCCACATGTACTTGAAACAAGAGTAAGTAATATAACTACCATAATAAAACACTGGTACAACTAGAGACAGAATACAGCAGGGCATAACCAAGATTCTTGTCAGTGCTCTGCTCAGATTCTCTCAGAAATTATGGTACAAATATTTACAGGAAGTAGCTATAGCTAGACCCAGTCCTGCGACAAAAGAAATATCATTTTAATACACAAGCAGATACCAGACAATCAAGATATTATGAAGTCACCAGTACAATGAACTAGTTAAAATATTAATGTTAAAAGCAGTCCTATGCTTAGTAATATAGTCAACCACCATTGATCAAAGCAAGTAATAATTGTTTTATTAATCATTTTATTTCGATCAATGTTTGGTCATTTTACCTATATAATTACTAATCAATCCACTATTATGAGACATTTTGATATTTAAACTGGTAGATGTCTATCAAAATAGCATCTAGACCAAATTGGAAATGTAAACAACATACCTATCCGAATTCTCATAATATCTGTTCACTATGATGTCTCTTTAAAAATAAAGAACTGCTGGGCCTACAATGTACAAAAATGTCAAACATTGTCCACATGGTGGGAATTTCCTTTCAGTCAAGTGTTAGGACTAAATCTATCAAAACCAAGAGCCGAGTAATCCTCTTGGCTCCTGCATCGCAATGTATGATGATTCATCACCACTACTGTAATCAACACTATTATTAACGCAACATTCTCTTAATTATAGACAGGGCAGGTGCACAATCTTGATCAGTAGTCTTAAAATAAACGTCCTAAGCAAAATAAAATCCTTCTGCTGAAGTTTGGGAATTTCAATTCAGGAGAGTTTAGACGAATAACTCAACATTATCAACTTGAAAATTGTGAATCACACATAAACCCGGTTACATCCTCACTGCTTTAACAGTGGAAGTGGTATACACCTAGAACTTCTTCAAAATACATGATTATATTAAAAATACAACTAATGATTAAATCAAATATTTATAATATCTTAAGTACACAACGTAATAAAAAATTCGGCACAGCTTGCCAAGTGTTCAAACCCATTCTGGCTTTCAAGCTGACAGCTCAGGGTGGGTGTGTGCAATAAAAAATGCATCAAATTACGATAATCACGAGGAATGTGCTCTATCGACAATTCATAAACACAATGCTTACATTTCATCTTTTTAAGGTCAAAATGACTTGATCAGATATCTCCAAAGAGCTACATTGTCGCACACTTTGCAGGAAGTGCAGCAATCAACCATTGACCAAAAACGTCACATCACAACAGACATCGTCCATCTTGAAGGGTGAAGGTCAATTAGATATACTGGGCAAAAATTAAGTTATATCAAATCTGATATAAATTATAAAAATCTTGTTAAATAATAGCAAATATATTACTCTGTATGATTTGATAGCTTCATTATTTCACGTGAATATGATATTAATTACATTTATCTAGAACTACTTCACCTCACTATTATTTTCCTTATATTCATCCGCCACAACTTCCGCTTTAATTCCAAGATGGCGATGTTGATACAGAACTACATATCAACTTGAAATTCCAGAAATTACAACTATTCTGACAACACTGATCAGCCAAGAAGTTGCCAAAAGTGACTTCTTTTCAAAATATTAATCAATACAAGTCACTTTCCACTGTTAGATAAAGATGACTTGACGCGATTAATCATTCCAACATGATTATTCACTTGTCATTGACTTTGAAATGAAATGAGATGACATCATCATTGTGTTGACTATTTTCAGTATCATGGGGTATGACTGCAAGGAACAGACAGAAGTAAGATGATGTAGCGCACTGCTCGGAATCATATTTTGGTATGCCTTACATCACACCTGGTTGTAATTATGGACGAACAGTCGCTGAATGAGTTGTTGGAATGTTCTGTCTGTCTGGAGAGACTTGATGGAACTAGTAAGGTGCTTCCTTGCCAACACACGTTCTGTAGGAGATGTTTAGACGAGATTGTCAGCACAAAACATGAACTTCGATGTCCAGAGTGCAGAACTCTTGTTGAAATACGTGTTGAAGATCTACCACTCAATATTCTTCTTGTACGATTACTGGAAGGAATCAAAACTAAACAGGCAACTGAGAGGTCTTATTCTCCCACCTCTGGGAAAGAAATAATTCAAAGTACAGCACATGGCAGTCGATCTTCAAGACAGGTGCATTGATTATATTGTATTACAAATGTACAAAAACGTTCACAAGTATAGTGTATATTCTGATTACATCAACAGACGGATGTTACTGTAATTAGCACAACTTTAGTGGTAGAAATTGATTGTGCCATATATGGGACTCATTTACAGTAAATTATTTATGTATTTGTTCATTGTGGCCAGGTCTAGATGCAGGTACCAGCCATGTCTGTATTCACCCATAGTATGCGAGACTGTTTTATGTACATTACTTGTGGTCAAGGTAGTTTTAATTTGTCTTCTAGGAAAATAATGATATATAATCTCATTCTGTCAGAATTAAAATACTTAAAGTGTACCTGCTATAAGTAGTAAGAGATTGATGAAATTTGGTGCTCATGATCAACAGACTCCTAGATGAAAACTATAGATATTTTTTTTTTTTTATCAAATGCAGCTTCATTCAATATATTACGCAAAATACAATTTCGATTGTACTATCTTTCTCTTTTTCTAAATGCATCAAACAATTTTCACCCTAGGCGTTAAGTCTACATAGTAGTATGAACTGCTAATCCCCAGCATACAAACTTGCATGTCAAGTTTAATTGTTGTTAATCAACTTGATTTGTTAAGCCATTCTTTTGGTGTGTAATGCTAGTTCTTGAATATTGTATATGTTCAATATATATTTTTCCGATAGTAATACGAAAAAAATGTATTTTTACCACTGTCTCGATTTGATAGGGGAAAAATCTTTCGCCCCCCCCCCCCTCCCCCTCCCCCCTATATATATAGTAATGCATACATAGCACATATATTCTTGGTATGATTATTAACTTTAAACTTTAAAAGTTATTTTGGTTGGACAGTTACTATTGATGTCGACCTATATAGATCTTGCTGTCTGAAATTCATATATGAAGTGATTCACTATTGCTTAATATACAGTATAACCAACATTATCACATATTATCAAAGCTATTTTATTGAATGAACTTTTAACATAAAAATACACTTGTTTGCAACAATATTTTATTATGGTATATCGGGTATCACTTCAACAATTGTTTGATTTAAAATTTTTTCAGTCTCCAAACAACAGCCATGCATGTGCCAAAGCTTTATATAACTATGAAGGGAAGGATCAAGGGTAAGAATTATTTAATTTTAATGAGAAATGATGAAGATAACTACCTATATTATGTTGATTTTAACATCATCAAGTGTTATAACCTCTATGTAAACTTGTTATATTAGTTATGTTGTATATTTAGTAAATGTTACTTATCTATTAATGCAGTTTAATAGACACAAGAACTTTGAAATTATATATATTCACTAATAGTTAAATTATACTCTCGGCCATGTTTATAAAAAAAATTGACAATGTGTTCTCTTTTTGTCAACAATTTTATTAATTTATAACTTGGTGTATCGTTTACTTATTTACTGGCATGCCACATGGATATTTGAATACATGTACAACTAGTAAATCATTTAGTTTGATAAATTGTTACAATTTTAATAGTATTCATACAAATTTATTTGTATTCATAACAAATGTGTGTTAATCTGTTTTAAACTTTGTGAACATCTTTTTAACAAATATTTTTTTTCATTGTAATATGCATACATTGTTAGTTGTTAAATATGTAAAATTATATATATGCATGCTATATGTTACATGTGATATTTGATATCTTTTTAAGAATGGAATTTTTCATGAGAAATTACCTCTACAAATAACTTGAATTTTAAATTCAGTTTTAATAATGCACATATTTGAACAAGTATGGTTTATTTGGAAACCTTGTAAATATTTTATGTTGCATACTTTGCAGAGATTTGTCCTTTCGGAAAGGTGACTTGATACTGCTTCGGAAAAAGGTAGATGAGAACTGGTATCATGGGGATCTTGGTGGCCAGCATGGCTTTTTTCCTGCAAGTTATGTTCAGGTACGCTCTGGTCTGTTTCTATTTATAGGGCTTACACAGTTCAGAATTCTCTTCATCCATAATTAACTAGTATTACTATCATAAGGCAAACTAATATTATCAAATTTATATTTTATTTTTTTTGCCATGAATGTTATAGAGCAGTTTAATTGGAAGTTATTTGGTCACTGATCCTGAGTTTCTTTTTTATTCTTTTGACCTTTTTCGATAAGCAAAACAGATTCACATTACATTTAATATGCCCTCTGCTATCCCATTACATCAGTACTAGACAGTAATGGTGAGACTTTAACTGCGACTGACCCTGCTGTATTACGCCAATACAATGCACTGGAAGGCAATTCTATATTTTAGGTGTTCCAATTACTGGATTCACTCTTTATAAGATTGAGTTTTGTAGCTCAGTTCAAGGAGATACTCTATAAATATTGCCCAAAATGTTGGTGGTAAAGAATATAAAGATAAATAATTTCGTGGATATAGTTTCAATGTGTCCTTCTGGCAGGTGTTCAATGGAATTATTGCAGGTATTTGACTGTATGTCGTTGTAATTATGTTGACAATGATTACAAAATTAAGAAAACAAGCAAATCACTGACCATAAGTTATGTGTTATTTTTGTGAAGATGATATTATCAGCATTTCACAATATATTTGTTTGCTGTGAATTGTACATTACTGACTTGTGTTGTTGGTTATATTCTACACAGGTAGTGATCCCGTTACCTGTCACTACGCCCCAATGTAAAGCTTTGTTTGACTTTGATGTGAATGATGCAGAGAAAGATTGCTTAGCATTTAAAAAGGTAAGATAATATATCCAATGAATTTTGTTTAGTATAGTGTTGAACAGAGCATTTAAAGAAGTGATTGTTATAATGAATGTTCATTTACTTACAGTTAAGTCAAGATAGTCGGTCATATGTAGTGCTGTTTAGAATGATATCGTAAGTTTTTCACATTGTATGTGTTTCTTAAAATGTTAGATTTGGTTCCCTTAATGGAATATATATACGATAGTATTACGGGGCTGTGATACCTTAGTGGGTTAGAGCACTGGTGCTTTTAACATCAGGTAAAGATCTGAGGCGTGTGGATCAACACTCCCTACCTGTGGCAGTTTGTGTTCTTCAGGAAGCAGAGAAACAGGGAGGTCTGTGCTAACGTAGCTGTTTCTTTGGCAAGACACTTAACCGTAATTGCTGTGGATGGCATGTGACAGGCCTCCTGTATGTGGTTTAGTGAGTTGGCCACCAGCCACTACAAAGAGACCCTTAAAATGGCACTGGCTATCCACCGGTCAGTAAACCCTGCAAACAAACAGACATGCTATAGTATCCATTGATAGGTGAACTAGAGAAATGTAATACTTTAACCATTATTTATTATACTTTATCTGTAAAAGCATAGATGTAATACTTTTACCATTATCTATGATAGTTAATCTATAAAAAGAGATAATAAAGATTTGTAAAATCTAAAAAGTTTTAACAAGAGGTCCCAAAGTAATTTTAGATTTTATGTATGTATTTGCTGCAGGGTCACCACATATGAATTTATTTATTCACTTTATGTTGTCACTTAAAGGCAGGCAACTTTGATACCTCAGGTAGTGTAGGCCTACATAGTCTCCAATGAAGGTCGTGTGGTTTTAATGACCTCGAGCCATGTTGGTCTTTGTTTCTCAGTAATATGGGAAACTTATCAGTCTGTTATGTTGAGGTTGTGTCCTTGGGCAAGTCACTTTACCCCAAATGCTTTTGAATTTTGATGGCAACTGACAGGTCTCCCCATGTGCTGTTCAGTGAGGTAGTCATTTGCTACTATTAAATAACCTCTCTCAAAAATAAGCCTTCCTATTGGTTACTTTCAATATTTCTAAACATAATTGAAAGTATTGTGTTTTTGTTTTGTACAGGAAGAATACTTGACTGTGATAAAGAGAGTGGATGATAACTGGGTGGAAGGGAAAAAGGGGGAAAAAATTGGCATTTTCCCTATCTCGTTTGTTGAGGTAAATTTTAAATAAGAGTTATCTTTCTTTGGTTATCTTTCACTTATGCCTACAATTTTGCCATGACATGTTCCAGTGGTGCAGAGAGCGAAAGTGATTGCAACCCCTGGAGTATTGAGGATGAGATATATTTGTCATATTTTTGTCTTGACTTACAGAATCCATTATCCCAGTATTTGATGTAAATACATAGTATTATACACTCAAACTAGTTTTATCAGAATCATTTTGATACCAGTTATTGTTAAAAAAGAATAAGATTCAATTATTTAATCTACTAATGTTTCTTTTCTTTTTCTTTAGATGAATGATGCTGCCAAATCATTAATCAACTATAAAGCAAAGTAAGGCCTTATTCTAATAGTGTTGTCAGTGTTGTATATTTAGTATTGGTTGTGTTGTGTGATGTGTTTTGCATGTGAATTTTGTAAAAGTAATGTCAAGACTTAGAATCGTATTTATTGCAATTGGGAAATGTGAAATAAAAGTATAAGTTATGTTTAAGTACTTTAGTGGGGTTTTTTCTTCTGAAAGAAAAATCTGAAGGGTGAGAAAATAGAGAAATATCTGAAGGGGGAGATAATAAAGATAAAACTTCAGAGTGAGATAATAAAGAAAAATCTGAAGAGTGAGAAAATACATACTGATGATTTATCAAATATTTGCTTCTATTGCCATGTCTTTAAGATACCATATAAATCAGAGGTAACTAACCAGTTAAAGAAGGCATTATTTGTGAATTCGTTTTTTTTTAAACTATACTCTAGTTAGTTACAAGTTGAAGATATTTTGTGGATAGAATAGATATATATGTATTTGTAGATCTGAAATGTTAGAGCTTTCTAAAAGAACTGTTTGTGTGTGTTTGTATGTGTATGTATTTCCAAATTTTTTTATATGCATATACATATTGTACACAGATATTAGTCTTGCTTGTCAACACATCTAAATGCAAGGCTAGTATCTGTTCGGTATATTTATTCTCTTTCTTTGGTGTTTATATCAGTTGTTTGTTTCAACAAGAATGATAAAGGGGCAAGGCTCTTTATCACATAGATAGGCATCATTTTAACAGATCTGAAAAGTGAATTTGAAATGATTTGTCATCTAAAACAGTTGTTATCATTGGACACTTTTGTGGAATAAGCAGTTGGACAAACACCAATATAGTCATACATGTTTGATTTTGGAATGTTACTGTTGTGTGTGCCTTCTTTCAGAGTACCTATGCATGCAGGAAGACCTCACACTGGTGGGGATAGGTCACATGGGGAACAAGTCCCTGCGGCCCCTCCCCCTGGTCTTGATAAACACCCTTCACAAAGGGTGGATCCCATTCCAAAACAAAAACGACACTCGTTCCATGCTTCCTCTCGCCATCGGTCACATTCTAGTCATGACCAGCGTCATAGAAGGTAAAAATGGTTTCACTTACATGTGTGTTAATATGAGCTGGCACTTTACACTCTACTGGTTTTTGTCTCTAATTTCTGTTTACGGTAAACATTAGTATTTAATGACATCCAAAATTATTAACACACATTTGTTAAAGGTTTTATTAATAACTTTTGAGAAAAAAAATAATAATATAATTTTTTTATTTTCTTTCATGAAAAATACTAACAAGTATTTGTATATGTGAAAAATTTGCTAAGGAAAGAAAAAGGTCATTTAAAGACTTAAATTAAACCCTTATTGATTAATTGATCATAATCATAAGTTGAAAACTTGTTTGTAATCTGTAAATAACAGTTATCAATATTATATCAAATTTCATTTTATATTGAGTAGATTTATAGACATTTCATAGGTCCCTGGATTTCTCATACTTGAATTTTACAAAATAAAGGTTGACATGAAAATAAACACTCTGACATTGATGTAGAGGCTTTAAATTCCTTTTTAAATGATCAGATAAACTTTTAGGTAAAATGCTGATGTCATTGTCAAATCATAAAACATTTTTGAGTCTGATATTGACATATCTTTCAAGTGTCTTGTTTACTGTTGAACTATGAACCTGGTAACTGATTTGTGTTACAAATTCTGATTCTTGCTTTTGAATATGCATGCTTGTTTTGCTTGACAATGTCATACTAGATCTCTGTTCTAGTTTAATGAAGTCCTGTTTTCAGTTTGATGGGTTGAGTGTTTATGTTGACTGGTATGTTAATTTGATGTAACATAGATATTATTACATTATTCCTATATTATTGTAGTGTTGTCTTTTTTTTTAGCTCACACTATTGAGATTTCTGAAATCTCTTGTGCATAACAGTGTATTGCAGTATGTTAAAAAGTCAGGTTTCAAATGCGGTAAAGCATACTTGACTCCTGTATATTTATTTGTATATGTCCTGTTTTACATATCTGTCCAATGCAAATGAGCAAGTTGAAAATAAGACTTCTTTACGAAATATTTGATTTAAGATTTACATGTAGAAAACATGTGCTTAATAAATCATTATTAGCAACTGATTTACGATGACTTGAATGTGCCCCTGAAGTCAACCATTGTAAACTTGTATGGTGTTATATTGCAGATCGTTAGAAATCAGCAGTAACAGTGCTGGTAACCTGATTATAGCAACTCCTCGCTCCATGTCACCTCCGCCCCTCCCCTTTTATAACCACGAGTCTCACGAGGGAGCAGCTGCTGGCAAAAGCCTGCCCTCCTCTAGTGCAACACAGGTAAACATTGTTATCAGAAGATTGTTTTCTCAGCATTCAAAATTTGGTTGATAAATTACTTCCAATTAAGATTGTGTTTTCTTCAATAGGTTTGATTTAAAAAAAAAAGGGAAAGGCAGTATTCAGGTATCAGCTGAACTGACTTTAAGTCAAAGTTGATGAACCAAGTCCAAATATCAATAAAATGTGTACAGTATTTGCTTGGAGAACCTTGAAATATTCAGATGTATTAGCTTTTCTGGTTCTTTAGCAATATCAGTTGTGATTTTTAATGTTAGTGACTTATTGCAACAATAACCGAATTAGAGTTAATTTCAAACTAAGAAGGACAACTCCAACTCAAGTTGATGCAATTTGATTACAACACATGTACCAAATATGTGTTTGATATGGATATGGTGTAAATAAAATATCTATTGAATTCTTTTAGGATGTAAAAGTTGCTGGTGCTGATGGGACATCCTCTAATACTCAGAAAGGGTCACCACATGAGGGACTGAAGGCACCGCCAGGCATTAGTTCAGTGGTGTAAGTAGATGTCATAAAGACCGGAAATGGAACCATTTTAAAAATGATTTGTCCCAAGTGACAGCATGCTGTAACTGTAAAAATATGATCCATGGTCTATTCAGGTAAAGTCTAACACTTAAAGTTTGCAATCTATAATGTTACTGCCAGGAACACAGCTTTCCAAATAAAGATCATTACCTCTATAGTGATAATAAATTGCAAAATCATTTAATCATTCACAGATTTATACAATATGCAGGTATAACTGTTATGGTATTGGGAATCTCCCCCAAAAATTTTGAGTACTGTATGCTTATGTTGAAACAAATACATCTCCCACTCCGACTTGATTTACATTGGCAGACATTTTACTAAAGAGGTAACAAATTAATGACCCGACGCAATTAATTGACAAACCTGTCCTGATTTGTTTGAAATTTGATTTACCTATGTATCTCCTAATATCTACCAAAACAATACCACACATATTCTAATGCCAAGCTTTTCAAGGGTTTCAAATGAAAATTGGTAAGACATTTGCAGAATGTTAAGTTGGTAGGGAAAATAGGAATTTTTCTTGGTCAGAAAGTGTTGGGCACAGAGCAAAGAAGAATTTGCCGAGGTGGGGTGGGAGGGGGGGGAACCTTGTTATCAATAAGATACACTGTATCAGTAACTCCACATGCATTCCCCATGAAGAAGTCTGTAGTGATACTGTGCTGCAAAAATAATCTTTTTCCTGGTAATTTCTCTGTCACATGAACTGTACATCATAGACACCATGCCACCCATCTTGGGCCATTTAGTATTTTAAGCATTGGCAGATTACATATTATGGCAGTAGAAACAATTATTAAGCCATTTCTCCTTAAGTTATGTTCACACATACATGTGAATGTTTTTAAAATCTCTCCTGTAGATATGTAGCTTTATACAACTACAAGCCTACCAAGGAGGATGAGGTAGAACTGAAGAAAGGAGATTATTACACAGTGTCAGATAAGTGTCAGGATGGCTGGTTCAGGGGGCAGTGTCTCAAGTCTGGTCGTACTGGTGTTTTCCCTGGCAACTATGTCCAAACAGTCAGGTATGTGTCAGAGGATGTTAGATCACCTTGTTATAAGAAACTTATATATTGCCACATTCAGGTGTTTTACAGCGAAGTGTCAGACAAATGTGGTTTATGATTAAAGGACAATGGTTTTCTTCTGGTAACTATCTGATGCTTATCAGGTAGGTTATTATCAGAAAAGTGTGGTTTGAGAGGAATACCAGGAGGGAAATAAGTTATCTGCCACAGGTAATCCAGTAAGATTGGAAAGTCATAATAGAAAGATTGATGTCCGTGGGGCCAATATTAAGCCTTTATCTAGTCTTGATGATTGATGAACAAAACAAAGTCTGTTAAACTCACTGCATTCTTCATTCTCTTTATTATCTAATCTAATACACAATTGTTTCCACAAATGTTGCAGGCACCAAAGTGCTTTTCGTGCTGTTGGAAGCTCCAATGTGTTAAATATAAGGGCCAAGCCTCAGGTGATGACAGCACCAGCCACTACCACAGCTGCTGCTCCAACATCCTCTGTCCCACCTTGCACCTCCACGACCTCTGCTTCAGCTGCTGGTGTCACACCAATGTCTGGGTCACCACAACTCAACTCAAGACGCAGCCGATCCCCCAAACGTCATTCTGTTACACCTCCCAGAGCCACATCATCGCCCCAGCCATCCAGTAGTCGTGCCAAACTACCATCTCCACCATCATCTGTCATTGTGTCTTCTTCATCTTCCTCTTCACCGTCCTCTGTGCCAGTTTTGTCCAGCTCCAAGTCCAGCCAGACAACATCATCATCCTCATCTGTATCATCTCGCTCTGTTGCTCACTCATCAGATAGTCGTACAGTGCCCACAGGTGCTAATGCTCAGGTTCTTCACTCGTCACACAAATCATCAAGTCATTCATCACACAGGTTAGATCGTTCGAGCTCAGCCCATAAGTCATCATCTAGCAATGCAGCTAGTCACCAGCATGTTCCAAAGCCAGTCTCTATCGCCATGACAAATTACCAATCTCAACGGTCGGGCACCTCCACCAACCACCAAGGACCAGCATTCCTTTCACCTGAGTTATCAGCCATGCAAAAATCAATGGCTACTAGTGCTAACATCACGCCACCTAATGTTGTCATAGGGCCTTCAGGAGATGGACCTAGTGCAGCACTACAGCTGCCAAAGGACAAAGTAAGTTTATGGAATTCCTAAATATCAGACATTGTAACTATAGAAGTAATTATATATATTCTTTGTAATGTTACAAGTCATAATATTTTTAGTTTGTTTTCTCTTGATTTCAAAAAGTTTGTCAATCAATAAATGTAAATATTAGTGATAGATACCTTTTACAGATGAAGTAGGATATTCACAAAGTCATTGTGTTTAGAAGTCATAATACTTTAAACCTCCACATTTATATTCTTTCATTTTCTCAGTTGTATTTTATCTTTTGTCTTTCAACTGTACATCTCAGCACTTTGAACTTATCTTGACATCAGACCAATTAATCGCGATTCACCTGCTCATTTAAGTTGAGTTAGTTTTCCTTTGGTGTAAAACAGAAGCAGAAGGCACATAATGTTGATTTAAAATTGTATTTTCCTTTTGTTTAAAACAGAAGAAACCACATAAGTTTAAGCTATATTTTCTTTTTGTAATAAACAGAAGGAGAAGAGAGACAAAGAGAAGATCAGCCTTGTAAAGCGCTTGACCTCTGGGAAGAGCAGGAAGTCCAAGTCCACTGCAGTAGAAGATGCAGGATCAGCAGCTGCTGCAGCCTCCGGTGCTGCCAGCTCTCTAGTATTGGAAAACAACAACACTATTTCCCATGTAAGGTCAGGATCGTGCCCCTCAGATACCTCCAGTCTGCTGTCCGTGGAGACCTCTCTACATGTTAAGACTGGCTCATTTGACTCATCTGTTGCCCCTCCACAGCCATCCAAACCAAAGAGACCAAATCCCCCTCTCAGGGAGAAGTAAGTGATATATTCCCTGTAAATAGCTGTCTGTTTTTCTGGCTTTGATATTAGACATTATTATCTTTCACGTCTTTGCATTGTAGAATTCCTTCAACTGGATAGATAACTTGATATGCTAGTTTTGCCTGTATGTCCTACACTTATGAGATGAAGATAATAGGATATGATATTGCAGATATGAAATTATTTAAAAACCTCTTTATGAGTTTTATGTTTCCATCTCACAGGTGCAGATGTGTGGTACCTTACCCTCCTCAGAGTGACATTGAGCTGGAACTTAAGATTGGCGATATTGTGTACGTCCACAAGAAGCGTGATGATGGATGGTACAAGGGAACGCAGCAGAGGACAGGAAAGACTGGATTATTCCCAGGAAGTTTTGTCGAGAAATGTGACTAGATTAGCACTTGTTACCCATATTCACCAAAGAAATGATACTCGAACAAAGCAAGACAACCTATCTCATTTGTATCCTGTAATTTCAAATATATGCATTTCTTTATTAGAAATTAAATTCAAATGAAAAAGAATTTCTGGTAAATTTAATATGAAGTTTCATGTAATGAATTACACCATTGAGATAAAGTCCTATGCAATACTAAGTTAAAACAAAGCCAAAATCATGTTGATTACAATTTAAATTCAAGAATGCTTTCTGTCTTAATTACAGCATATACCCAATATTAAAGACGCATTATGAAATATTTTATCAAATTCAAATTTCTTCAAAAGTTAGCACAAAGCTTATCCTGGCTAGTGTACCTTCACTTTTATGTTCAAATAGAATAACAAGGAAAAGACATGTTTCTTGCAGATTTATTTTCGAAAAATGCTTGGTTTGATTGAATTTTACCAGCAGCCAAATACACTTAAATCGTGACATTTTTGATCATCTGTCTGCTTAGGAATGGGGATGACATCCAGTCAAAGCCAAAGATGGTTTACAACACTACATAGCTAATTGTCTTATTATGTTTTTAAATTTAAAGAAAAAATATCACTAACCTGTAAGCTATTTGAGGCTGCATCAGTGCATCATTCACTCTCAAAACAAAGTAAAAATAGAAAGAAAGAAAAAAAAGACTACAGTATTTCATACATTAGAGAATGATACACCACATGTCCAGACTGATGTAATTAAAGGTGCTTGTCAACGAGAATTATCAGTAAAATAACCTGACTGATCATATTGATATTGTCACCATAATGATGTCAATCTTAAATATCTTAATGAAATTGAAGGTACATTAAGTCAAAAATAGTTCTCATGCTTGATGTTCATAAACTTACTGCCATTGAGAAGTTGTAAGCTTGGAAAAATCAACCCACCATACTCAAAACAGCAGGAATTGATGGTGAGCACTTTTTTATTTTCTTTTTTTTAATACCAAGCTTATGATGTGTATTGATTTTTTAACATATACCATGTATTCCCAATGTTAATGAAATATAATGATCACAGAGTGTTTCTGTGGTGTTAAAATGGTGCATATGAATATGTTTGTAACGGTTTCAATAGTTTGAAAATATGTTGTAAGTAAGATGAAAAACAGGGCTTTCATGTGTAATACAAGTGAAGGAGAGAGAAACTAAGTAGCTACTTTCATTTTAAATAAAAATATATTTCATTTATATCATCAGATACAGGACATCAAAACCTTTTGAGTTTTATAGTCTCACAAACATGTACGATTCTTTATCTGCTTCTTTTGTATCCTTAAGTTAACGACAATAAATAAAAAATTCAAGTCAACTCATGACATGTTCATTACTGACTATCAAATTCAAAAGATATAAAACATCTTCATGTAAAATACCAGAAATCCTAGAATCATATTACCATCAAGAAACATTGTTAAAAATCAATTGTATGATTTGTTTATGAATTAATTCCAATCAAAACCATACTTTTTACTTAGATATACTTAAGTTATATGTTTACATTTAATCAACTCGGCAGCAAGCAATCTTTTTAGACTCTATACAACTAACAGTGATACCTCAGAGTTTGTTTTCATCTCTCCAGAGGCTTCATTTTATATCTAATTATATTTTCAGATTGAAAGATAACACTTTACATCGGGAGCTTTTAAGATTATATTTGGCTTCAGATCATACACACTAATGATGTACTCTCACAAGTGCAGCACTTCTGTGTAATGATGATCCAAAATGGACCTATGATGTGCATCTTTCTCTTTGATATGTACTAATAAATAGACTTAAAAAACATTTTTAATCTTCTGAAAAAAAAAAAAAAAAAAAAATAATATGAAACAAAAAATTTCAGTCATCAACCTTAGAGACCAATCTTAGGTGAAGTAGAGATTGAGCAAATACAATTCTATCTAGGCCATACTTCAAATAGAAAATGTCTTTGGTTTGTACAATATTTATCACGTTCCATTAGTAAATGAAAGTATCAACAAGGTAACTTTCATTATAGACACACTGTATAGCAAGCAGGGTACGCTGTCATTGACCGGAAAGTTCAAGGAAATAATATATATGTGTATTTCTAGTTACACCATTAGAATCATGTTTGCTTGGATGATCCAATGGTAGACTCGCCTTTCATCTAGGTGACCAGGGTTTGATGTCCTGATTGGACATGCAGTGGTATGGAGTCACCTGTAGCTGTCCAACCACATAGGTTTTTCCTAGGTACCACAATAAGAACCCTCATGTGCCTCCATCCATTTTAACCAGTCTCATAGATATTATCTTAAGCATTTTGCAATTATTGTAGAATAGATGACAAGTTAAGATAAATTGAAATACCACTGTCTAGTACATATGGAAGTGCTATGGTTGTTGATAACATAATATTTTGAATGCACGGTACTGAACATGTCACAGGAATTGCAGATTGTATTATGCATTGTAATGAAAATGAACCAGACTTGATCCCTACTGTATTAAGTTACATTTTTGGGGTTTCTTATCATTGATCTGTTAATGGAAGATCTTGCAGTTATCATCACTTCAGTTATTTTACAGTTATAAAATGTAGCTAGAAACAAATCTATCTAAACATATTAAATATGTATAATGATATTTTCAAATTGATTTCCTTTCTTTTAAATTATAAAAAATCAAAGTATCATGGTGTTGATGATATTGAATTCCAAAATAATTATGTTGAAGTTTTAACTTTCAACAAAACAGAGATTTGTTGTTAAGATTTATTATGATAACAACAAAATGTATATTAAGTGATTATATGAGTGACTCTTCGTGATAACGATGTTTATTTGATAATAAACTCATTAGGAGTTTTATTTTGTTGCAATGATTCATGTAGATTCACTATGTTATATTTCAAAAGTTTCCTTTTTATATCAAGTAACGTTGTCTTAAAGACTTCAGAGTATTTTTACAAAGTGTATTTTATGCAAAACGGGAGACCGAATGAACAACTATCAATTATAAGATATAAAAACATATATAGGTATATATATTTTCTCTTATCAAAAGATACATTTAATATTTGAATGAAAAAGATATCACTATCTCCAAACAGGAGATGTCATGTGACAGTTTTGTCTCAATATTCACTGCCTTTTCCATTTTTCAGAAATCCAATATATGATTTTCAGGATTCATATCGCTGTTTATTATATTGAATTTGAAATGAAAGTTCCTGTGTTGAATTTTTTCGAAAATGGAATCTTATATTGATTACAAAAAACATTCATAAAAACGTTAGAAAGCTTATGCTAAAAGATTTATGTATTCAAAAGTCACTGTATTCGTTTACTCACGACTGTAGGATTATTTTTGAATTCATGCACTTTTGAATTACACAACCTTTTAGTCAATGCAATATAACACCCATGTCCTGCTGTATGGGTTTTTGAAAGGATGTATCGTAGGTTATCAATTTGAGTTTACTGACTTACTAAATAGGTGACCAGGTCATGCTAGGTCAGATATAGACATAAAATGTCATAACTTGTAATGTTATTACAGATATATACCGCTGTTTTTTGTTACTTCAGATAAATTGCTTTTAATTTTGATTTTCCACCATTGTTAGAATAATGAGAAATCTGAAGGAAAATGTGTTACCTATGATGAATATGAAAAATCCTACCATGATTTGTATTGTATTGGAACATGATCCTGTATGGACTAAGAAACTTATGGCGTACCTACATTGCTATGACTTACAAGTAAAGTGAAGAACAATTTTTTTTTATCCTTTAAGAGGTTGATTGCTACATCAGACATTACTGTTCAACGCTACAAATCTAGCAGACATTACTGTCGAATGATACTATTCACCTACGAGATTTTTGCTAGCATAATCTGGTGAAATTCACTTCAGATGCAAGAGTAAGATATAGGGAGATATGTGTGAAAGGTATGCTGTGTAACTGGCAGATATTGTGAAAGTTGTCTCACTTAAATGCAAAAAAGGACCTGAGATTATTGATGCAGGAAGAGGTAACTAAAGATAGACTTTTGATGGAGCTGATATTTGGTGTGAAGCAGGTAAAATTATATGCTTCTAATTCAATATTTTAAAGAGTGTTTGCAACATTAATCTTAAAAAGTTGGCAAGTACAATCTACGAGCACTTTTACAACATAGTAATATACTTTTGAAAAACCGTGAAACTTAAGCACCAACAAAATATAGAATTTCACCGTATTTATGGATTCAGATTATAGGTACAATATCAGATATCAGATTTCATATTCATCTCTTCTGTAAAAAAATTATGATTGAAATATTTTTAAATCAGATAGTGTTAAATATCAGTTGAGAATTGTGCAGAGCAAAAAAGTTTTTCATGAATTGACGCAGAAAGTCAATGTACTGCATTCTCGTAATTGTACCTGGCTGACTTGTATAGGTAGTGGTTAATTTACAGATAAGAAGCCACAACGTTTTTGTAGAGAAGTAATGTTATGGGTTCATGTCTGTGTATAACTTAATTACTACTAACATAAGTCAGCCCGTTACTCTGACACAAATGCAATACATCTAATTACCTAAAAGTATTAAATGTTGTAAGTCATTAAAATGATTTGTTAAAGACACTTTATTTGAATTAGTAAAAAATTTTATCTGCCATAAGTTTAGAAAACCTACTGTACAATAGATAAATTGAATCAAGCAGCAGAGTTGTAATCACTTGATAGCATAATCACTGTCAGTGATGTTGTTTCTGAAGATTATGACTTAACAGATATCTCTCAATAATTAAAAATCTTTTCAGTGTTTTGTACACTGCACTTCTATACATTAAACTATGGGAAACAGGGAAAATTAAATGACATCTTCATAGTTATTACATATTTGATTACTTTATAATGAATAAGACGACACTCAGTGGGCTTTTTACACGTATACAGTTAACAGCTCTTGGAGAAATTAGTATAACAGAGCACAGCTGAGATAAATTATATTATAAGTTGTGCACTCCAAATTCATTTTGTGGGATTTTCGAAGAGATGTATGAAGTAGTGTGCAGTACTTTAAAATGATGAATGCTGTAGTGCTTAGCTCATTAAAACCACAGCTGTCTTTTGCAGCAGGCTGCCTTTTAGAATGACAAAAAGGATATTGAAATGTAGGTATGAATATATTGGTGCAGGTTTCTACAGGAAAGTGCAGAGTTCCAACAGTAACCCACACACTTGTATATTTTTTCTATATATATTTTAAATGGTAAAGTTTTATCTAAGCAAGTTCTATTGATACAACATGGTTAATGAAATACTTAATTACCTCTAAAAGTATTTAGTCAGTAATGGCTTTCAACTTTCATGTTTTGAAATTGATTTTGAAAAATATGTATCCTTTATGTACATAAAAATGCATTCCTTCAGTGAGTGGTAAGACAATGTCGTTAATTATAAAAGCTGACTGTCACCCACCTGTTGTGTTAAATATAAACTGCATTGGAGGTAATGACTGAACTTTAGTACAGTAAAGGGCTTTTATTTAAACACATCATAAGCTTTTGTGAACCACTCAGTTCCATCTTTTTGCATCGACATCACGTTTTAAAGCATTTTGAAATGAGAGAGAACTTGAGCCAAAATTTACAGTTATATCATACAGTTTGATGATTAGAGCACCTGATGCTAGCACTTCTGTAGTCACGCGTCTGTTCTCACTCTGTATGTGATATCTTTAAAAAAAGATAAAAATGCTTAATTGCTGAACACATATCTTTGTGTGATCTTAATTTATTGTAAGGAATATATGTCTAATCTTCACACCAATTGTCAGCCTCTACAGTAGTGATAGGGAGATTCAGAATTAGTAGTGAGGTTGCATGAGGTGTATGGGAGGAATGCCTATTTCATAGAGCGAGAGAAAGTATGATGGAGAAATCCGGCACATATAGCTGTTAAGTTCTCTGTGAAATGATGACATTTACTGACTTCATGGCATGCAACATGTTTCTTATCTTCAATCAGTTGTTTTTATTTTTCAATTAACTTTTTTGCTACGTTTACTATGTTTTCTACCAGTCAATCTGATTTAAATAATTCCACATTCCATCACAGAAGGATTGGAGCAAGGCGGTGGGTTGTTGTTGTTGTAGGATCATGAAAGGATAGATACGTGTGTGTGGTGCCAGTAAGATAAAAAAAGAGTATATATATATATATGGTAGACTGTGTACATGTAGTTGACATAGAGGATCACAGCTGGACTTGCGATATTATATGAATAGATGATAAAGCCAGTAAGATTAATTGCCAATCATCAAAATTAAATATGTCTATTTTGCTGTTCATTTAAATTGAAATTATAAAATGGCATTTATGGTTGATATGAACATCCCAGATATTTCATACATCTAGCAGCTAGGTGTATGTTAACAAAAAATACTGGAATGTAAGGATTTTAAAACAGAATATGTATACTACTTGTTAACCTAATACTTGTTTGCATTGTTTGCTTGTTATCTTTTATTTATAATTAATAAGGTGTAAGAGTGATACTAATAGTTTAAGGAGAATACATCGCTTGTTTGTGTGATTTGTAAGGAAGGGGGTTTGTACCATGTCGAGATCTATACCCGTCTCTAGAGGACCTTAATGTACTAGCCAACACATGTTGTGTAAAATTCCTTTTTTTTTATTCTGAAGCAATAGTTTCTGTTATTTTGCTGTACATATATATGAAAATAAATCTACATTTCGTTTTATACTATTTCAGTGTGTTTGATTTTTGTTGTGTATTTCATCAAAAGTAATACATGTCAAAAAAATTGAAATTGAAAGTTCAAGGAAAATTGTACAAAGTGGTCTAATTTTATCGACTACACCTGCGGTTTTAATCGATATCAAATTTTAAGTATATAAGTTACATCTACAAAGATAGAGACCCGTACAGCGTCAACGACACCACAAAGTACACTAATAAGTATAGAAATGTAGAAGTCATTTCTCACGAGAACATACCCATATGCTAACAAGTTTAAGTCGAGCTCAAAAATCTACTAAATTACAAAAAAATATAGGCCTATTTATGCGTCTTGTGCTTCATCAAAAGCACCCGCCTTTGTCAATCTATAACAGTAGTGGTGCCTTCTCTAATGACAAGTGTTCAGACAGCGAAACCACCAGACATGATAACGAGCAACAAGAAATACTTCATGTCACAGAACGAAACACATTTTTTTTTTTTTATAAAATCAAGATTTCGCGATATTTGAATTGAGTCGTTGGATGCCAAATTACATGTATTATGCAAGAATCATAGTTTGGAGGTCCAGGATGTTGCTATATTATATTAAGAATTCCCCAAAAGTCAAAGCATAGTTTTTAGGTGTATTTGAATTTCCAAACTCGTCTTGGAAGTATGACCCGCTCGACCTTTTGGAATTACATCACCTGTTTTGTAGTAAATAATACATGACTCTATGCTTACACTATTTGCAAAATAATTATTCACAAAACGCTGGGTATATATATATGTATATATACTTGCGCAATATACACAAGTTGAGGGGATAATGTCTGACCAACAGAGAAATTAGTACCTAACAGCATTGTATATATATATTAAAAAAAAAAAAATCATATTATCCTCTATGTATTCTGTTAAGAGGTTTGTTACAAATAGTGGTTAGTCTTGACTGTACTACCGTTTGCTAGCCTATAAATATCAACACTGTGTTTAATAATCTCTACATGTACATGTGGTATTTGCATTATATTTTGAAATGACTTCCACGCGATTCGTTATACATGTACTTTGCCAATGAATTCCTCCTACGATTCAGTCGACTTGTGACACGATCAGGTTTGTAATGTTTTATACAGACACTGTGTTCCGTGAGGCGATCTTTTCCCACAGCAGTAAATACATACTTCAATTTGACTTGATTTAGGTACGGTACCTTTTTGTCTTCTTTGACCAGAACACTAACCTTTTTAGAACGTGACCAGTATGTTAACCCGCTTACTCTGGGGAGACGAGTCGAGACTTTCGTGAACACACTTTTAATTTTAGAGAATTACAAGTGACATGCAACATATTGTAGTGACGAGAGATGTCAAGGCAATCCCATATCCATCTACATATACGTTTCTGCGCCACAAAGATCACGATCTGTTACCTGTGTAGCCGGGGGAAAAGGGAATTTACGAAAGATTCTCCTTAATAGGATTTCATTTTATCCCAGAGATTTCTGGTTTAATTGATCTGACATTTGTAGAAATTAATCAACATGTCATACCGATTCGTCTATGACAGTTCTTTGTGGGTTTAAATGTGTACTTTAGCCAACTGACTAATGAGGGGCTCAGTAAACTTAAAACCATTGTTTTGGTTCTGAAGATTTTGACAGTAATATGGTTTGTGAACCCCGAAAGCCCGCTCGGTTAAAAGTTCATTTGGATGGCTCCTAGATTGGCACAGTTTCACATAACAAGCGTCAGTTAAAAAGTTGTTTATCCAACTAAATGTAACTACTGATAGAAGTATAGAACCTAAACCAGATAATCCTTTGTGGAAGAATTCTTTTGCAGCTGATTAGATGGTACCAATTCCCATAACAACGTAGAAATGAAATAACATAATTTTTCGCCTAAGGCGTTACTTCCTTGGTCAAGGAGTTGTTGATTCGTTCGTATTTACCTAATGTCTGTTAATATTTACCGTGGTTCATTTCCTAATAACTTGAAAGCGCAACGTATAACAATCGGTGACGTCATAATACATAACTAGATAAAAACGGACATCATTTCTTATAAATCTATATTGTTTTCATACAGATCAAAGCTGGTTTCTAATATTGTTGATATGTGAATCGTTGGCTCGAAGGAAGATGCCTGTTTTGTATGTTTTTATGTGGTCATGTTTCCAGCTGAATGAAGATGCCGGTTTTATATGTTTCCATGAGTTAATGTGTCAAGTCTCGAAGAAAGATGTCGGTTTTATGTCTCCATGTGTTCAGGTGTCCAGCTGAATGAAGATGCCGGTTTTGTGTGTTTCTATGTGTTCATGTGTCCTTGCTCGAAGGAAGATGCCGGTTTTGTGTGTTTCCATGTGGTCATGTGTCCTTGCACGAAGGAAGATGCCGGTTTTGTGTGTTTCCATGTGTTCATGTGTCAAGTCTCGAAGAAAGATGTCGGTTTTATGTCTCCATGTGTTGAGGTGTCCAGCTGCATGAAGATGCCGGTTTTGTATGTTTCCATGTGGTCATGTGTCCTTGCTCGAAGGAAGATGCCGGTTTTGTGTGTTTCCATGTGTTCATGTGTCAAGTCTCGAAGGGAAATGCTGGTTTTGTGTGTTTCCATGTGTTCATGTGTCAAGTCTCGAAGGGAAATGCTGGTTTTGTGTGTTTCCATGTGTTCATGTGTCAAGTCTCGAAGGGAAATGCTGGTTTTGTGTGTTTCCATGTGTTCATGTGTCAAGTCTCGCAGGGAAATGCTGGTTTTGTGTGTTTCCATGTGTTCATGTGTCAAGTCTCGAAGGGAAATGCTGGTTTTGCATGTTTCCATGTGTTCATTTGTGCAATCTCGAAGGACGATATCGGTTTTATGTCTCCATGTATTCATATGTCCAGCTGAATGAAGATGCCGGTTTTGTGTGTTTCCATGTGTTCATGTGTCCATTCCCTAAGGAAGATGTCGGTTTTGTATGTTTCCATGTGTTAATGTATCCAGCTTCGAAGGACGATATCGGTTTTATATGCTTCTATGTGTTCCTGTGTGCAGTCTCGAAGGAACATATCGGTTTTGAGTGTTTCCATGTGTACATGTGTCTAGTCACGAAGGGAAATGCTGGTTTGTGTGTTTGTATGTGGTCATGTGTCCAGTCTCGAAGGGAAATGCTGGTTTGTGTGTTTGTATGTGGTCATGTGTCCAGTCTCGAAGGGAAATGCTGGTTTGTGTGTTTGTATGTGGTCATGTGTTCAGTCTCGAAGGAATATGCTGGTTTGTGTGTTTGTATGTGGTCATGTGTCCTATGTGTTCCTGTGTGCAGTCTCGAAGGAACATATCGGTTTTGAGTGTTTCCATGTGTACATGTGTCCAGTCTCGAAGGGAAATGCTGTTTTGAGTGTTTCCATGTGTACATGTGTCTAGTCTCGAAGGGAAATGCTGGTTTGTGTGTTTGTATGTGTTCATGTGTTCAGTCTCGAAGGGAAATGCTGGTTTGTGTGTTTGTATGTGGTCATGTGTTCAGTCTCGAAGGAATATGCTGGTTTGTGTGTTTCCATGTGTTCATGTGTCCAGTGACCTGCATGTAGAACTAAATTTTGGATAGCTTATTTCTTACGTTTCTGCAAAGACATTAATTTTGGTTGTTTTTCGTTTCATTAAACATAAGGCACGGTTTCTTTAACCATACCTTTTCGTTTACTATTGTCCCATTTGGTTTGTTTCACTTGTTCTCTGACAATTCTAATGGACGACGTCGTTTTTCTCTTTTTTGTATAAATATTTTAGCAATCACCTTCTTTAACAAGTGACAATGTCGCACACTTCACTTGGTTGAAGTGAAATGTCAACATTTCTGTGAGAAGTTATTTGATATGATTATAACTTCTCCCCGTTAGTAGGTGTTTAATCGAAAAACATTTGAATATATATTGCACATTGAACCTTATTGACTACATGTACGTGTATACCAGTTAAAGTCTGGATTTCAGATGGAAACAGTTTTGTGTTGTCCTCTTACGTTGGATGTCTCCATTCAGCTGTCTGGCTTTCCGAGTAAATCGGAAATGAATACCGGAGACACCAATAAAAAAACATGACATCTCAAGTCTCAGAAATAAGATATTCCAAAAGAGCACAATTCCTGCATATTCTAATTCATTTAAGAAGCAACAAGACATTTGATTGGTTAATGAAAACAATTTGCGACACTTTAACCTCGATATGTCATCCATGAATTTCAAAGTAATGACAGTACTGTCAGTGAAAGAGCAGAGAAAGAATGTCTCACTGCGTTTCGTAAGCGATAGCTAAATTTGAGACCATGAACAGTAGACATGGATCCGTACTCATATGACCCTGGCTGTTGCGAGGACATAAAATAATTATAACACTACAGACCCTGGCATGCACCTTAACTTTCTCAATTCGAAACGTGACATTTTCAAGATTTACTAAGTGATTGTTGTCGATAAAGAAGATGGCGCATGTATACCTTTCTAGAAGAGTCATACTGCAGGACATACAATATACAACCAGCTGCGGTAATATTCCCCAAAATAGTGCAAGCATGCAACAGAACTTTCTTGGTCTTATTGGTGAATAAATCGGATACTTCAACTTAAATTAGATGCATACATTATACATTGATGTACATCGAAGTAACCGATCAGAATTAGATAAATTCTATATAGCGGGTTTTTGACGATCTAGAAACACAGCACACTACTTTTGGCATTTAATCAAATTCTCTTTCTTCTTATGAACTAACCGCTATGCCGCCATGATGAGAATGATGTCCTGAGCATGACCAAGACCATTCTCAAGAAAACATGTGAAGGTGCTCACAACTTTGAGCACAGCCGTTTCATGAATATGATTTGAGCACGAGAATAAATAGGCGAGTACAACATTTGAATTTTGAGCACAACACCTTTAGTTTGAGCGTGAGAATGGCTTGGTGAATACGGACCCTGGTCTTATTTCACTTGTACTTTTTCAGTAGTTTTTCCTGTTAATCTTTTTTTATTTGCCATAGATTTG